TTGGAGTCTTCACTTATTTCCTAGATTTGTATTTCTTATTAAGATTCTGATTTATTATTCATATCTTGTTAAAACTGAACACAACTTTAAATAAAAATAGGTTTGGATGAATAATAGTTAACTTAAGAAAGGGTGTTAATTTTTTATACACATAGACACAGATATATTCAAAGATACATACATATACCACAAACTATTCTATGCATGTACACTAAAATTCATATATCAATAATTCAGGATTAATATTTTTCTTAGTTTGGGGGCCACACCTATATTAGGGTTACTTTTATAAGACCATAGGTAGCTTAGACATGAACTCATTTAGTAAGATATCCTAAGCTGTAGATGAGTAAACTGAAATATGATAAAATATTACCAAGTCACAGCATTTTAAAAGTCTTCCTCATTCATCAAAAGAACCATATGAGAGAGATGATATCACTTAAATTAATCACTTAACTTCCCTTTAGTTGTCGATTTGCTCGAGCGGGCGCCAGTAACGTCTCCATTTGTCCCTGTCGCATGCTAGTGTAGCCCAATGGCATCTGTTCGCTCTGGGAACATGAAGAGCCTCAAACCGATCATTCATGATCTTGATGAAGAAGTTTGACCATCTGGTAGGTGGGCGGCCACGCGGTCTTTTGACATCCCGTGGAATCCAGTCGGTTACAGCTCTAGTCCAGCGGTCATCTTTAAATCTCATTATGTAACCAGCCCATCTGATTTTTGACACCTTGACAAATGAGACAGCATCCCTGATTCTTGATCGTCGACGGAGGTCAGAACTCCGGATTCTTTCTCTCATTTGAGTGAAACGTGATATTCCAAGCATAGCTCTTTCAATTCCTCTTTGGGAGACCCGAATAGCGTTCTCATCCTGTTTATGTAAGGCCCAGGTCTCTGAGGTGTATGTTAATGCAGGAATAACAGTGGAATCAAAGAGATGTGCCCGGAGCCGGAGGTTCTTCATCCTTTTAGCTATTTCTTTGACGTTCTTGAAGGCGTTCCAAGCCGCTCTCTTCCTCCTGCGCAGCTCGGGTACCAGGTCATTTGTCATGTTGACCTCTCGACCTAGGTACACATAGCTGTTGCATTCAGAGATGGTCGTTCCGTTGAGAGCGAATGGGGCGTCAGGAACGAGGCTGTTTCTCATAAACATTGTCTTCGTAAGATTCAGCTGTAGTCCCACCTTTCCATACTCACGGTCAAAGTCGGCCAGCATTTGTGCCGCTTGACTGATGTTTGGTGTTATTAAAACAATGTCATCAGCAAAGCGGAGGTGGTGCAGTTGCTGACCATCTATCTTCACTCCCATTCCTTCCCATTCCAGTCGTCGCATGATGTTCTCGAGGGTGGCACTGAAGAGTTTCGTTTAAATGGTATCACACTGCCGCACCCCTCTCTTGACATCGATGATTACTTCTTTGTAGAATGGTGAGATCCTGGTAGTGAATCTGCAATACAGCTCACGGAGGATCTTGATGTGTTGGGCTTGAATGCCCTGATTGGCTAGAGCTTCAATGACCGCTTCCATCTCAACAGAATCAAAGGCCTTCTTTAAATCAATGAACGTTAAACAGAGTGGCATCTTGAACTCCCGAGAAACCTCAGTGAGACTGGTTATCGTGTGGATATGGTCAATGCTGCTGAATCCTTTGCGGAACCTGGCTTGCTCGCATGGTTGTCTTTCATCTAGTGTTCTGCCAATCCTATTTAGGATCACTCGAGTGAACAACTTGTAGATGACAGACAATAGGCAGATCGGGCGATAGTTGCCAATGTCATGGATGTCTCCCTTCTTGAACAGTAGTACGGTCCTGCTGGTTTTCCACTGGGACGGAACATTGCATTCAGACAGGTAGCGTGTGAAGAGCCGAGCCAGTGTATTGATGAGTACTGACAGCAGGTTCTTCAGGTGTTCTGGTCTGACCTTGTCTGGGCCAGGTGCTGTTCATTTCTTTACCGATGAAATGGCGTGTCGGGTTTCGGAAGGGAGAACGTTGGGAAAGACATATCCATCCCGTGGAATTTGGTATGTCAGCAAGGGGACATGGCTATCGAAGAGATTTGAGTAGAAGTCACGGATAATCTTCTCCATTGCCGTTCTGGAGGATGTGATGGATCCATCAGGACATTGGAGGGCAGTCATCTTGGTCTTGTAGTTGGCGAAGGACAGGCAGGCGTTACGAATACTTTTCCCGGCTTCTGCCGCATCTACCAGCACTTCTACTCTTCTCTCTTTGAGGTCCTCCTTTATTGCATCTCTGCACAGCTTTGTGAGCTTGGACGTTAGCTTGCGGTTGCCTGAGGCATGCGCCAAACCACGCTGGCGAATAAGCTCAAGAGTTTTCGAAGATAGGCATTTTTTTGTGGCTATCTCTCTCTTGGCGTTCCTCACACATTCATGGAGGTGCTGTACCAGTCAATTGTATTCCTCGTCAATGTTGTCAACAATGGCATCTTCCCATGTTGCTGCAATAGTGCCAAAGAGCTCCCAGTTGGTGGTCGTTCTGGGAGTTCTCTTTTTAAACTTTGCAGCCCTTTCTCCCTGCTCTGTGAAGTAGAATTTTGCACGAAGGAGACGGTGGTCCGATCCCGTTTGGAATTTTGGGACAACAGTGACATAGGTCAGGCAAAACCGTCGATTGAATATGATGTGGTCTATTTCATTGTGGAATCGTCCACCGGGAGACTCCCATGTCCAACGTTTAGATTCTGCCTTCTGGAACTGTGAGTTACCATGGATGGTCTTGGTCAACATGATGAACTCAGACAATCTCTCACCCTGTTCGTTCCATTCTAGGCCATGGGTCCTGATGTGAAGTTCTTCAGCTGATCTTCTCGGTCCTATCTTGGCATTAAAATCACCCACAATGATCTTGTAGAAGGTGTGGTCTTCTTTATAGAGAGATGATATGGCATAAATTTTTGCTGATCTCAGACAGTAGCTAATAGAATAGCAAAATGATCTGAAGATATGCATCTTATATCACTGAGATATAAAGACTGACTACTTGGGGTAATATGTTATGGAATACTTTATGAACTTAAGAAGGAGTAATCAAAATCTTACAAATGTATGTCTATCATAAAATTCCTCATGAATTCAAAATCATGAGAAATAAAATTGGGGGTGTTTTATCTCTTTTCTTTATAAGTGACTTCTTTGGGACCCAAGGTGAGAAAGTATGAAAGTAATGCAATAAAGTGAGTAAAAAATAATCATTCCTTGTCTCATTAAGAAATTGTACATAACAATCATGTCTGGGATAAGAAAAGTCTGATAATTGAAGGAATTATAGACTATCTGTTGAAAGATCCAGACAGAACTATAATTGACAAGTCTGTGGGAAAGTCCATGACTGATTACTTCAGTTTTTAAGTAAATAAAAATAAGTTTTGCCTGTTAGACAACTAACTTCTATTTTTGGATTTGTATATATGACACATTCAGCATTTTTAATTACCATTATTTTAGTGCGAAGGGAATAATATTATTTAAACATTTATAGTGGTCACATCATTATTTAAACAATTATAGTGGGTTTTATATATATATATATATATATATATATATATATATATATGAATGGGAACACCTATTAGGGCGATTAGAGACCACCCCAAAAGCCTCTACCCCTCTCAGAGAGACTGGAAAGCTACCGAGAGTATCCTGCCCACATGGCAGAGCCTGGCAAGCTACCCATGGCATACTTGATATGCCCCAAACAGTAACAATCATGGTCTTCATTCCGCTGACCCTGAAAGAGCCCCCAATATGCCATCGGGCTACAATAGCACGCAATAGGGATGAATGGAGACAGTACTGGCACCTGCTCAAGCAAATTGATGAACAATGGAATGACAGTGATACAGTGATGTGACACAGTATAAAACATAGAATTATTTTACATAATTAAAAATTACTTTTAAATTCTTTAAAATTGAGGAGGAAAAATTAAAAAGCCTAACTATCATGTTGACTTAAAAGATTATGGGAAAGTTGGATATACATCCCAAACATTCCTCTGGAAGTTCTGATCATAGAGTCAAGAAATCTATCTATAGGAAAAGGAAATAGAAAACTGGGGAATTTCAAATCAGTAGAAAATGAAAAACTAATTTCAATTTTACACTCCCCATTTTATCACTGCTTCTAAACATTTAAGGGCACATTAGAAAAATCAGAATTGGCCTAATTATCCATTATACTCCCCCTTACTTAGATGACTTGCAAAAATGCTCATTTTTCCACATAGACTATTGTAAAATCTTTCCAATATATATTGTGCACTTGCCATAGCCGACAATATTCCTGAGATTATTTTTTCCCTTGCTTAAATCTCTTTCTCTCTCTCTGCCACTCTCTCTCTCTATATATATATGTATATATAATAAGGAAATATATTGACAGAGTAATACTTAGGAGGCAAAACTAGCTCTTATAGTTACTAGACAATAATACAAAGATGTAATAATAATTCATTTATTTCTCAATTTCAAGTCTTAGCTTAAATTCTGCAATTAAGGACTTTGTGAACTTGGTGATAAGTACTTTATTAAATTTATTGAAGGAGTAAATATACTGGGACCCAGTTTAGTTTATTTGTTTTCTATAATTAAGGCAACTATGATTTACAGACAATAGTCTATTAATTGTCAGGTAGTTTGTGGTATTTGACTTTTGAACTCTTGACTCACTATTCCCAAAACTATAAGTGTTTTCTAGAGCACTTTCACATAGTACACAGTAAATGCTAATTTCAGAATATGACCAAAACTGAGGTTTTAATTACACTTATTGATTGTGAGATCTAGATTAGGACAAATTAAAGTTGATTTTATTGCAAACTACAGTTGTTGGTAATAGTAACTGAGCAAGCTGGTGAAGGAGAGAATAAAAATATATGTCAACCATGGTTTATCCAAAGAAGTTTTTTCTATACAACCTGAGTCGAATCGTGTTATACAAAGAAGTATATTTTCTAACTAGGAAATAATTATTGAACTGATTTTTTGCTCAACAGATATTTTATGGCAGCTTTTACATCCTTATTCCTCAAACTATAGATAATAGGATTTAGCATAGGGGTTACTACACCATAAAAAAGAGAGATGAGCTTGTCTGTTGTCTGCCACTCATCTCCCTCATGTTCTTGAGACTTGGGTTTGGCATACATGAAGAATATGGTGCCATAAAATATGATGACTACTGTCAGATGTGCTGAGCAGGTAGAAAAGGCCTTGCGTCTTCCAGTGGCTGAGTTCATTCTCAAGATGGTGTAGAGGATAAACATATAGGAGAAAAAGATGATTGTCAGTGGAAGAACCAGAAATACCATATTTGATATCACCATGGTGATAATATTGAGAGATATATCAGCACAAGCAACATTGAGGACTGCTAATATTTCACATGTAAAATGATTGATAATGTTCTTCCCACAGAAAGGTAATTGCATGGCAAGAGATGTTTGCACGATTGAATTAATTCCACCAGAGAGCCAAGACACAGAAGCCATCAGCACATATACAATCTTGCTCATAATGATGGGGTATCTCAGAGGATTACAGATGGCCACATAGCGGTCAAAAGCCATTACACCAAGCAGCAAACACTCTGTTGACCCCATTGCAAATCCAAGGAACATTTGTACCGTACATGCAGAAAAGGAAATGTTTCTTTTCTTTGAGATTAAGCTCACTAAAGTGGAGGGAACAGAAGAGGAAGTGTAACAGATATCCAGAAAAGAGAGGTTGCCAAGGAAGAAATACATGGGGGTGTGAAGGCGGGAATCAAAGACACTTGCTATGATCAGAACACCGTTGCCAATTAGAATCACTAGATACATAATTAGAATCAAAACAAAGTAAATGATCTCTATCATTGGATATCCTGAAAGACCCAGGAGAATAAATTCTATCACAAAAGTCTGATTTATCTTACCCATACCTTCTGGTTCTAGGTTATCAAAAATCTAACACAAAATATTTTCACTGCCAAGAAACAAACGTCACAAAATAGCAAACAGTTAATTTTAAGAATATATTATAATATGTGTTTGCTTGAATTTCTGACATCCAGTTATTTTCAACAATCTGTATAACCAATATACAATGAAGATGGGGAGATGGGAGTATTGATGCCCATTGCTAATATATGTAGATCTACTTCGAAGAAACAAACATACATAAAGAAGCAATCATTCTTGCTGTCAGAGACATAGTCTTGGATTGGGGTTTCTGAAACTTCTAATTATTATTTACAAGCCTAAATTCATCATCTTCCACAGAAAACAATCAATAAAATGACAGAAGACTCTTGAATATGAACTGGAGTTTTGATTTGACAATCACCACAGTCACTGTCATCCCATTGTTCGTTGATTTACTCAAGCGGGCGCACATACCTTGTGACAGATATAAAAGTGTCTGCCCAGACCCAGCATCTGGCTCAAATGCATGGTCAGATCTGGCATGGGGTGGAGGGGCCTAGGGCTCGGGAGATGCGGCCGAGGCTGGCTCTGCTTCTGCTGGCAAGGCCTGGAGGTGGAGAGGCCGGGGGCGGGAGCACGTGGGGCCGGTGCCACTGGACTGCAGGCCGCTGGTCCAAAGGGCCTTGGCGCTGTGGGTGCCCTCGTCGTCGTTGATTTACTCAAGCGGGCGCCAGTAACTTCTCTATTCCTCCCAGCCCTGAGATTTTCGCAGCCTCTTCTTACTCGTCTTTTCTCAACGATTGGAGGCTCTTTCAGGGTCAGGGGAATGAGACCTGTGACAATAAAGATTATAAAAATTTTACCGCAATTTTACCGGATGTGACCCAAAAAGAAAAAAAGAAAAGTTGCAACTGATTACTGCCTCAATATTAAAACTTACTTTTTCCAAAGTCACTGTTAGATTTGATGTTGGTTAATTAGTGCAGAGAACATATACATATCCTATTGTCATTAAATTAGTACTTTGTATAACTTGTAGCAGGATACAAATACTGTACAGGAAACAAATACTGTACAGGATACAAATACTTGTAGCAGGTTACAAATAGATTTTTGTGTATAGATTTAACAATTTTATAGAAATCATGTCAACAGAAAAGGCTAAAGGAAACCAAAGAAAAACCAAGGTCAAAAAGGAAAACTGACTGCATACATTAAACAATACATAAAGAAAAATGGGAATAGTTTACACTTATTCTATACTACTTTTATTATAAATCAAAATTCTCCCCAAATAAGAGTTGGAAAATGGTAAGAAAATTCATTGGATAAAAATCATGAGCTTCTGATTATCCACTTACTAATGTGAATGAAAGAAGTCAGCAAATTAGTGACTTAAGAATTTATGACATTACAGGCCAGATCCTTAGGGTCTAGACCTAAGAAACTTGGTTTCCTTTCCCAGGCAAGGCTAATGATAATGCATCAGGGATTACCTAAACTGTTTTTCTCTGGCAGGAATCCCTTTCACTAATTCAATGCTACCTTTTTTTTAGGTATATTTTGCTAACTTTATTTTCATTGTATTCCCCAAACTTCAGGGTGACAATCCTTTAATATTACAAAACTGAGGTACAGAGAACACAACCTACTTTTCTTGCTCATATTTTTGCATCTACACTGAACAAAAGGCTACATATGATAGATCTTTTGTGACTAATCTAGTGAAAGTGACTTTCTAAATTCAGACAATATTCTTTTACAGAAATTTCGGATTTATAACCAGGAAAATTTTAACATGTAACATTAATTTTGACATAGAAATACATTAACATTTTAAAAATATATTTCCGTTAGCACTAATCAACTGACATCTTATATAAAAATAATTTGTAAATTATGTACATTTTAAGTACAATTTTCACATACACTAAAGTGGGTCAATTGTGGCAGAAAAGGTCTCAGACTATAACACAGTTTTAGGATTATTTTCTTCTAATTTATATCTGAAGTTTTCTAATTTGTAGAGTATGCTAAAAAATCTATTGCATTTTTGGGGGCTATTGTAAGAAAGTAATAAAACATCATGTGAAAATTATTTTCAGGACAATGATTAATATCCACAATTTGGTCATAACAAATAAGTATCTGTTTTGCATTCTTTATATCGTAAATTCAAATTGAATAACTGATTTAATTACACATTGAGGGGGTACAATTACCTGGTAGTCAAGACTTACCATTATACTGGTATATTATTAGTATCTTCTAGAAGTACCAGTTACTTCTTCTTTTATTTATGTCAGCATTATGAATTAAAGTCAGACTCAACAATGTCAGATTCCACAAATGTGAAAGAGTAAATATTTGGTAAGCAACGGTAGTAATTGTTCCCCAATCCCCAAAGCAATTTAAAATTGGAAAGAGACATATATGGAATAGAGAAACTTCTTGATGCGTTAGGGACAATGTCTCACAGACCCAATTAAGATTGGTGCTGGGAATAAAGTGTGGCTAAATTAATGTTCAAAAAATAAAATGGCATTTCTACTCAAGTAACTTTTGAAACAGGAGTAAATGTTCAAAAATATATTGCATGTGAGAGTTTTCTAGTTAATATATACTTATCAAAATTAATTCAAACTAGAAAATTAGTGGTGAATGATGACCACAGAGGTTGATTCATTGCTCCCATAAAAAGAACAACTAAAAGCTATCCAAGAGCTAGCTACCACCGATAGAACCCTAGAACATAGAGGTTAATTATTTGCCTATACCTCAGAGACCAAGACATCCTGTTGAGAAAGGTAAGAGAAGTCACAATACACTGACCGTATTGACCCTTCCCCAGACCAGCTTGGCATCACCTGGAAAGGTTTTCCATAGGTCTGGTCTCTCCAAAGGGAAAAGAGAAAATGGAAGCAACAACAAGAACCACTTGCATTGTGTCTTTGTGGGTGTGGGTGTGTGGGGGAGATGTCTCTACCCACTAGGGGGAGTGTTTTCAACCTTCATGCAAGAAGGGTTGGTGACAACTACTGACATCTGGGATGCTGTGTTGCCTGACCTGGTAGGATCGTGTAAGTGGAAACGTAGGTCTGGACAAATTCTCCTGGTCCACTGTCCAAGTTCAACAAAGCTGTGGCATTCTGGCTGTATGCTACGCTCTCTTTTGTTTTGTATATGCTGCCTCGAGGATGCTGGTAGAGCCGATAAATTTAGGAATACCTTAAAAAGTTACTTCACATCCAAAGAAATTATGTCCAAAATGAAGATATCCTAGTGAATGTGAGAAAATATTCATATATGGTATATCAATTAGAAAGCAAATTTCCAAGATACATAAAATATTTACCAAGCTAATTAAGAACCAAAGTAGGATTAACACATCAAAAAATGAAGAGGCGCTAAACTGATAACCTTGAAAAAAGAAGACATAAAAATGGCCAACAAACAAAACGTACATCATCACTGATTATTAGGGAAATTCAAATCAAAATGATGATGAGATATCTTTCCCTCTCATGAGAATGGTCTTCATTTTTAAAAAAAAAGAATGTAAACACGCTGTTCACAATAGCCAAAATCTGGACACAACCCAAGTGCCCGAGAACAGATGGCTGGTTAAAGAAACTTTGCTACATCTATGCAATGGAATACTATTCAGCTGTTAGGAGAGATGAAGTCATGAAATTTGCTTACAAGTATATAGACATGGAGAGTATCATGTTGAGTGAAATGAGTCAGAAAGAGAGGGACAGACATAGAAGGACTGCACTCATTTGTGGAGTATAAAATAATAAAACATGAGACTGACACCCAAGAACATAAGGACCAGGAATTTTTCTCCATAGTTGGAAGCCTGCTTTATGAGTGGGGAGAGAAGGGACCTGGAGTAGAGAAAGGATCACTAAGAAAATGATTGATATGATAATTTTGTTGGTTTGGGGACACACCCATTTGTACCTGGGCACATTCCTGTTGTATTTGGGGGATCTTGGAGTTCTGGGGATCAAACTCTTCAGCTCTTTGTTTTTTACTGTATACTATACTTGCATTCATTTAATAAAATTTTGGTTTCGTTGCTTAAAAAAAATGTAAACAACCAGCACTGGTGGGGATGTGATGAACAAAGGAACCCTCACTCACTATCAATTGGTGGTATGGCTATCTGTCCATTCTTTATGGAAAATGGTATGGTGACTCTTCAGTAAATAGAAACATCCTTATGATGCAGACATCTGTCTCCTGAGCATATATACCAAGAACGTGGAAGCATTAATCTGCAGGGATATTGCCACACCTATATTCATCACAGTATTATTCACAGCAGTCAAAGTCTGAAGCACCCCATGTTTCCAACAACAGAAAAAATTGTGGCAGAGATACATGAAATACTATGAAGTTATAAGAAAAGATAAAAGAATGCAGCTTCCCACAATCTGAATAGAATTGGAGGGTATCATGCCAAGTGATTCAGAAGGAAATGACAAATACCAGATGGTCTCAGGCTTTTGTGGAGTGTAAGGAAACAAGCTCAGAGATATTCCACAGAAAGGCAAACAAACAGAAATCGGCAGGGAGCATGGACAGCGGCCATGGGTTATTAATACTTTGTTGGGGGTGGTGGTGAAGTGGCATTGCAAATATCTAACAATTTTGGAAACTGGCAAATCACATTAAGTCAATTAAATAGAATAAACAAAATGGAAGTAAAAAAAGGCAACAAATATCAAAAAAGCACTATAAAGTTTCAACAGTACATTTAAATATGCAGATAAAAGACTTAGTGAGCTGGAGGATAGGTCATATGAAATTAGAAGACAAGAAGTGTATGGAAGACAGGGTTGTAAGGATATTGGCAGTTCAGTGGTAAGTGTGAAATAATACTACATGTCTAAAATGTCACTATAATTATATTATAAATAATGATACTTCATAAAAGTTTTTAATATTCAAATAGAGGATCAAAAAGGAAAAATATTTTAATAGTATAGAAAACCCATAGCAATAAC